CTGGATTCTCTTCTCCGAACTCTCTACATTTGGCCTCTATGAGTTCGGTTACTGCATCGTGGGCAGCGATGATTTCGGAGACCTTTTCATGGTATTTCATTGCCTCCTGAAGGGTGTGTTTTTCAGCGTCGAACGCCTCCGTATAGGTGTCGTACTGACCTTTCAACGCACCGATTCTTCGCCACGGTTTGAATAGCAACAGTAAACTGTAAAAATACTGTTCTGGCTTTTGTTTCGGGTCACATCTGTAGTGCTGGATGATGTGCGGTCGCTTCCTTTTGCGCACATATTTCTGCCCGTAAGGATAGAAGGTAGGGAGTGGTTCTCTGATCGGTCGACTCTTAACGATGTCCCAATATTTCGCATAATCGTACAAACAGACGTCGTTCATTTCGCACGGTCTGTTCGGATAGTGGGTGTCGATTATACTAGGACAGAACACGTCAACATCGTTAGGATCCATCTTTTCTATCTCTTTTTTCGGCTTCACCCTCCTGCTGCGAAGGATACTGGTATCGACCCATTTGAAAGTTGTATCGGGGTCTGTTCTGTAAAGCGGTATACTCATTAAAGTATCAGCAGCCTCGAAGGCCCCGCACTCGCGGTTCGCCAGAGATCTGAGCCCGTAATTCCACAGACTTCCGTTCACATCTTCGACGCTGGCAATGGAGTCGAAAACGTCCGTCATGTGACTAGTCTCAGCTTTGGTCTGGTACTTGGAGATGTACTTGCCAATTATGGCGGCTTTGTCACCGACGTACTGTAAGTCCATATTGCCCACCCAAACGAGCATAGTGGCAGGGTTATAATCATTGATACGTTCGGCTCCGTTCGCACGAGGCAAATCGTACAGTCTCGAATTCTTGACCAGATTTCTCCTACCAGCTATAGCGGTAGGTGCATCGCGCAGTTCGAAAGTAGACCGAGCGGCGCGAGGGAAATCAAAGCGGCATACTGTTTTAACACCGTTTTTATAAGTCTTTTTCCGCTTGCAGTAATTGTTACAATGGTGTTGCTGGTATTTAGTGACCTTGGCATGTAACGTTGGGAAAGTCTTTTTGTCCGGAATTCCACAAGTAATGTGATCTTGGATGAACTTGGCTACCTCTTCGCTGGAGGACTTGCCCAGCACCGGTGCATCTTTCACCCAAAGGAGGGTATGCCAATGTGGAGCTCCTCTGGTTTGATATTCCCTGCGCCAAACAAAGTGTTCAATGACGCCCAGAGGTCCTCCACCGGGCTCTGCCAAGAAAGCTAGCATAGCCGATAACTTCTGATGATAATACCTACAGACAGGACCTACATCACCTGCGATGAGACCTGCTGCCTGTTTGGTGTTTTTTTCATCTCCGTCGAGTTCTTTCAAGTACGCCTCGAGATCTTTGTCATCGTAGTCTGCCGGTGCCAAAGTGAGGAAGAAAGTGGGCGGCCCATACGTCTCGATCATTGATAAAATTTCACTGTGGGGCTTTTTCCAGTATTCTTCCGTGTTCCGTACTCTACTGAAAACACTCGTCAGGTCCTTACTGAATTCTCCTGCCTCCATTTTCTTCAGAAACTCCGAGGCGGTCATATTACCGTGAACCACATTCAGAACCTGATAAATGCCAGCCGCCAACTCTCGCATGGTGGCTTGATTCAACAGGTAGAAGAGGTATTGCGTGTTTTTCCTGAACTGAGGTTGCCGGTGGAACAATTTCGCATGAACGAAATTTGTAAAGTCGACTTGGACCTCTCTGTCCACTTGGAAATAGTTTTTCCCATCGGGGAACAAATCAGGAAAACACATCGCATCCAGCTTGGCACTTCTCGAGTCAACGCTGGGCTCCTGAATTTTTAACATTTGGTACAAATCTTTGGCGCGATGATTTTCTCTCTTACCGTAAATGGGAAAAATAGTGTAAGGAGCATAAAACTCATCCTCTTTGTCCCGCTGGGTAAGCATGGCAGCTATGTTCTGCAACGGTGGCAGCGAATCATTCAGGCGGTGACCAGGTCGGAGAGGTCTTTCTGGACCTGTTTCCTCGGCTTCGGCTCCGACAATCTCGTCACCATCGATTTGGCCTTGCCCAGCGTCAAGGGAGACGTTCGATTCTTCAAGAAAACAAGCAGGCTCATTATTGACTTCTTGATCGGCATCCGCGTCCGGACAAGAAGTGTCTGCCTGCAAGAGAGGTTCTTCTCTGGCAAGTTCGTGATTCAGAGAGTCGCTCCTCTGCGGAGAATCATGATGTTGCGGTGCATCGGTGGAATTATTTATTAAATCCTCTTCAACATTCAAATCCGCAGCAAGGACATCTGCCGCGTTGATTCCTGTTGAGTCGTGAACAGCTCTTTGATTGACGGACTTATCTGATAGATTCCTTGCGCCATGCTGAATGTTTTGCGGCTCGTCATCAGAGATCTCTGTGTCCAGACTAGCTTCCGACGGTGCAGGTTGTGCCTCATCGGATTCCGAATCGGGCTCGTCCGGATCAGAATCTGCATCAGGTTCGTCCGAACCAGAGTCTGGATCAGGCTCGTCCGGATCACATTCGGCATCAGGCTCGTCCGGATCAGATTCTGCGGTTGAGCGATCTCTTCCCGCAGTGCTTTTCGGAGCCGTTTCTGTGTCTGGGAGGTAACGCAATAGCTCCTCAGCCGATTTCGGTATTTCGACTTTCTCGTACAACGGATTATTCTTCTTCAGCCACTGTAAAGCCCTCAAGACGTTAGTGACGTTCACCACGGACTCCCAGACTTTCCTGTTTTTGGTGGGAAGACCTCTCACTAGAATGAACAATTCTTGGTTGGGCAAAGTTGTTTGCCCTGACTCTAAAACTCTTTTAAGGGTAAGTTCTAAGGGCAGCGGCAAATGGAAAGTCCTCCCCACAACCTTGGAGGTTAAGTGGGCCGACGGTATTTTCCGGTTCATTACCGTCCCCGCTTTGACCACAACTTGGAAGGCTTTAACGAGTTGAATGAACATTTTCTCGAAGCTGTTCAAACATCCAATTTCTGGTGGAATCGGAGGAACTTCCATTTGATTGATGGATGCGATCGGAGGTATGGTGTTGTTTTTTATTTTCGAGTGACAGTAGTCACAGATCCAATCGCAACACGCATCTGTTAGTACCGCGTATGCGAAAATCTCCAGCCACGTCTGATTCTCGATCGGCTTCATCTTCTCGACGGACTTTAAACTTCGCAGATGCATGAGCCTCTCGCAGCACAAGCAGTAGTTTCGCGGGAGGTCCTCCATTAATTTCTTATGGGCTTTAAAGCTTTTTTGGAACTTAACTTGGATTTCATCTTCGGAAACGAATTTTTGTCCGCCCACTTCGAACTCTCCGCCTTTTAACTTCGCTGCTTCTGCCACAGCGGCCAGCTCAAATATGTTTCCGTTATATAATGCAAAATCAAGGTCGTCAATCTTATGCAAGAGTCGTTTTAGGGTTTGCAACTGACGAAGTAATGATCTTACACGAGGGTAATGAGGCCCCAGGTTCTGCAACACGACGAACGGAGCTCCTTTACCGTCATCGAGTCTGCAGGATAGCGTATGGCCTGATTTAATAGGGCTCTCAACGCACACTCTATTGGAGCAATCATTCATACTCACGATAAAAAGGACTATTGCCTTTAAAACTACAGACTGAGATAGTTCGGAGAGTATTTTCTTCACTTTATTTGTCGCATCTGCCTCGTTCACTTTACAGACATCACTTTCGCAAGGCCACTTATGAGATTTCCGCGCATTTTCCCAGTATCGAAAGACATTTTGAACAACGCCTTCGTTATCGAGGATGAGGGGACCACGAGCTGACGGGATGGTCTTGTAAGAGAGCTCATTAAAATAACTCTCAGTGAACGAGGTATGTTGTTTGGGGCCCAAAATGGCGGCACAACAATCGTCTTCTTCCGAGAGATTTCTAGCGATGGTGAGTCGAGTATCGCATTCAGACACCAACTCTTTATGAGCACTTTTGAACTGAGCGAGCAACCTTTTACGATGGATCATACACCATTTAACCAAGGTCTCGGCTTCCATCGCTGCGCTTACTTGAGAGCCTTTTAAACGAGAAGAGATATTTTTTTCTATCATACCCTCGGGAGATTGGAGTATGAAGACATTCCTTCTTAATTTACCTCTGGAGTAAACTTTGAAACTTTTGAAAGTTTCATTGAAAATCGGTCGGTTAATGCTGGCTTTCGGTGCATTCCTCCGGAACGTAGAGGGCCTCGAAAGTCGGGCTGCTAGCCTTGAAGGATGATTCCTCTTTGAAACCGAAAGTGGCTGCTCACCGCTCCTGTCCATCGAACAAGTCTGGACGGGCCCTGGTCGCGGTGCAGAGGAGTCAGGATTCTCCATATTCTTTTCCACCTCCTCTTGAGCGGTGGTATTTCCTACTCTTATCGGTGGGAAGTTATTTTGATTCGGAAGATCATCTTCAGGAGGTGGAGCAGCATTTTCACGCATGGATGCACCGTTACCTTTAGATGAAATTTTTCCTT